CAGGAAGGAGGCTTAAGCAATTTAATTCATATTGTTCTCATCGAAAGTAATCTTGCCAAGTTGCTGCTAGTTGTTTTTTTGACAGCTAGGAAAGAATAAAACAAAGTATTTTGATGGTATCAATTTTATTGATACTTGGACTCAAGACTGGAGAGTTTGGTAACTAAAGTTTCCAGTTTCCTGCAAAGAAAACCTTTGATACAAAAGTATCACAAAGTGTATGTTTTTAATGAAGCATCTAAAGACTCACCTCGGGGAAGTAATTATCTCATCACTTAAAAGCTGAGAATATAATAAGCCTGATCAGATCTAGTAGAAACTGATATGAAACAACAATTCTCCACCCTCCCCTGGAAAGTGTTTTTTTCTTTTACGGAATGGAAAATTCCAGGTCGTCCTCTTATTGGACAAGCATTTAAGAAGTAACAACCCACTCTGCACTGGTGCAGTAAGAGGTAGCAAATTAATGGGACAGTAATAGATGCAAAAAGCTATTCTGATGGTTTATTCAAAAAGCACTGGAAGTGATTTACAGAAGCACTTTTTCCATACCACAGCTTGTACTTCCCTCTCCTTCCTTTTTTCTTACAGTGGAGTATATGAATAAAAAAAATATTTTGTGAGAATTTGGGTATTGTGAGTTTTGGTGCTTTTTTGTCGTTTTTTGGTCAGTTACCCCCTTCTCCTCCAGTTCTAATTTACTGTCACTTTGCTACTGTATTTCTGGAAATGGTAATTTTTTTTAAAAGCAGCATGGCATAAGGAAGAGCCTGGGAATTAAGAAATCCTGTATGCCAGCCTCTAGCCAAACACTGCTTAGCCTCCTGTTTCTGCATCTGAGTACTATAAATATTATGACCCTCTCCCCTCAGTTCAGCAACCTGAAGATTCAATCAATGTTCACTTCAACAGTATCTGTAATACATCTATAATGAAACTTTAAACCTCATTATGCTCAAAACTAGGTTTCTGTTTCACAGATGGAGAACTTGATATGCAATAAAGACTTCTTAATCTATTTATCAAAACCCCAGGAAACAAAACAAAACCATTCTTGGGTGTTTGCTAGAAATTTTATTCAGGACTACAATACTGAAATCTGATTGGCTTTAGATCTTAATTTTTGTCATTGATTAACCATAAAATGTCTGATTTGCAAGACACTGCCGAGAACTTTTATTTGACAATTGGTTTGTAAAACCTACCCTGTTACATTACAAAACTTACCCTGTTACATTATAAGGCATTTTTTAACTTTCACGCACCCTGGAGTCTTTTCTTCTTTGCTGATTTTTTTCACTCTGTACTGTCGAATCTCTCGCACCAATGTATAAAAAGCATCCTCCACTCTCTGCATTGTAAAACACAACTCCTTAAAAACTGCTTCATTCACAATCATGAGATATTGGGACATCCATGGCAGGGGAAAAAAAACCCGCAACAAAACCACTGAAATTACAAGCTTTACTTGAGAGAAGTATATGGATCTCCATTTGCATATTTAAAATGCTGGGCTTTATACATTTGCTGCTTGATAAATAGTTTTTAATGCAAGCAAAAGAGAAACGCTTAAAGAATTTCTTGATTACCAATTACTGTATCTACACTTCAAGCCCTCCTATTTTTTGTGAAAGGTAACACTTGGACAAAAAAATGCTAAGAATTATGTTCTTCCACTTCATAATTCCAACTGCACTGAAACGCTTGCGTTACTGAATCTTTTCACACATTTTTATGGGCATGGATGTATTTAGCAGCACAAAACCTTGTTAGATTGTTAAGTGGGGGTTACACACAGTTAACCACCTATTCTCACTTCTTAGGCAAAGTGAGAATCTATTACTGTTTGGGCAGGCAAAGAAAGTAAGCTCACTTCTGTTCTGTTCTTTATACAGGGTGTACTTTCTTTGCAAAAAAACTGTGGAAGAAACTAACAAAATGTAAAAGAAGTCTAACCAGGCAATTTCCTAAGAGGCTACAAAGAATTAAAAACTTCTGGGAATACTAAATTTTAGGCAATGTTTGTTTTATAGCTATTTACTTTATGTTATTAAACGTGGGAAAAGGGATATTCGAGTTACGGCAAAGTGCTTTTAAGAAGCACCTGAAGTGTATTATATTTCAGAGTAACCTTCAAAACTTAATTACTTACTGTAAGTATGGATGTTATTTTTCCATGCATAAAAAGCAATAGTTCATTGTTATCACATTTAAGAGCTTGGGTCACATCAACGTGCAAGGTTCACCTGACTGTTCCCTCTGGGCTGGCCTCAGGCAACCAAGAGGGTCTAATAGTAAGAATTAAGTGCAAACAGCCTGTGAAGTTCTCCTGCTCACACTTTTGTTCTGGTTGAGGAGAGCTCTTCAAGTGTTCCATGTATGACTGAGCTATGTGTTTTACTTTTCTGGTCACACCCTACCTTTCTGCAGCTCTGTGCTTAGACTGCTTGGATACGATGATCCATAAGCATGAAAAAAAGTATGAAGACTGAAGTTATCTTTAAGCAAATACAAGATAAAAAGGTACAGCACCAGGTTTAAATTATGTTATTTTAAACTGACTATATCTGTGCATAAACTTAAAAATTTAGACAGATCTGTGGGGATGTTCTTCTTATAACAAGATGCAACATGTTTAGCTGCAGCTTTTAAAGGAGAAATCTCTCCTCTGCCTTACTGTCAATCTCATTACTTGTTTCCTCAGTCAGATCAACAGGGCTGTTAATTTAATACAAACTCATTATTTGAAAATAAAACCGGAATAGACTGATGATAGTGGAAAACAGTACAACCATTTAAGCCCCAAACTTTATAACTACCCAATGCACAATTTGGGCTTTTATTTGGCATATTTTCCATACACTGTCTCTCCAATCCATCTTTGTATCATGCAGCTAACAATAATTGCTAGCATGACCCACAGTTATTGGGTCATTTTGCATGAACTGTGCCATAGGTTATCACGTTGAAGACTCATTCTTAAGAATGCTGCTGCTTATCTGCTCTCTGAACTACAGCCACTTGAATTTCAAGATTAATTAGATTTATTTCTTGGATTGTATTTCTTTGTTATGAATGATGTGTCCTGTTAGGATGTAGTGAAGTATGGACAAAACAATCAGTCTTACATTCCAGGTCTGAGAGTTTGCAAAATGTGAAAAAAGCTATTTAAAAAACCCAGCAAAACCCAAGTAAAGCTCATACTTTCATGTTTTCCTGGAAGGAGGAAACAGTAAACATTGATCAGCTGCTATGTGCCAAAGCACAGGCTGTACAAGAATCAATATTTTTGTAGATCTACTGTTTTGCAGTAGAAATATGTAATTTGATTATGGAGCTTTCACATGAATAATTAGATAACAATTCTTCAATCAAGGTTTATTGCCAACTTTCCCATCACCAATATGAGCTGTAATTTGCTTTAGCAATGCAGAGAGAGGGAGAGACACAGAGAAAAGAAATTGCTACTACTGCCACCACCAAGAACAGTCTTATCAATCCCCTTGTGAAGTAAGTCATTCTGAAAGAAAATCTCTGCAGAGACACATTTGCTAATTTCATTAGCACAAGGTGACATTTTAAAGAGCCAGGTGACAGTCTTATAAACTTAAGAAGTCATTTAAATACCAATTTCTTTTACGATTCTTCAGTATATTTTCCTTAAATGATTATGGACCATATCTCTAAAATATAATTAACCAATTTATTAGCTGTCAAAACTGGATGCAAAAATACCCTTTGGCAGATACTAAAAACTTCAAAATCTAAACAGCCCCAAGAACCCATTGACCTTAAGGCAATGTTTTCAAGACACTTTTGGCTCCTAGGAGACAGCCAAACATTCAATTTCAAATATGACTATGTGCAAAGAAAGACTATTTTGAATACAAACAGGAATTTTCACATGCTCTGCTTCTCTAAATAGTGCTTAAAGGAAACTAATGAAAGGTAGCTTTGACATCTCAAAAGTGTTCTGTGTCCACCTTTATACACTTTGTAGGAGTTGGTCTCTTAAAATCAACTCTTAGACAAATAAAGTGAAAAGCTATTCATAAAGACAGAAGCAAAAAGATTGCTATTCCCTTGCATAAAAGCACTACCAACATAAATCTTGGTAATGATAAAGTCAGCTTAGCCAGTACTGGAGAATACACAAACCTGCAAAAATCTACTAGCTCGTGCAACATTTAGCTTATAGATTACGGGCAATTTTTTGCTGTTTCTAAAACAGATGTAATACATCAAAGGACTGTTTGAAAACAGTTACTACAACTCAGCCACATGCAGAACCTCCACTAATTTGGGAAGTGAGGGGGTGTTAAGCTGATTATGTTATTATCTTACAATGGTTAAATACCAAACGTACATCAGTAAATTCATATTAAACACTGCACAAAAACACAATGAAAGTTAATCTCTCCAAAGGTAAGAAGCACCAGAATTAGAGCTGTCTGTCCTACCTGCACTTAACCCATTGTGCACATGTATCCTCTTTTTGCTGCACCTGTTTATCTTTACATCAGGTATGTAACAAGCCTGTTTCCTGAGCATCCCAGGGTAATTTATTTTTTTCTCTTGGGCCCTTGTTTTTGGGAAGGACTAAGCTTTTTTAGAAACGTTTTACCTTACAAGAAACTAGCAACATGGAAAAACTCAACTCACCATATGAAGTCTGACATAGTTGTAACTAATTGAAAATAAAGTTTTAAAGTGGAACTTGCACACATGAGATGAATTAAAAATGGCTTGGAGTAAAACACAGAATATCATTGATCCGATACAACAAATCCCTAAAAACTTGGCAAGGTGGTTCACGCAAACTATCTTAAGATACCAGTTATTCATGAATCTCAATGAGCTGAAGGAATGCTGTTCTGTAAATACTGCACCGATTACTTCAGACCAGGCACAGGTTCTCAACTTTACTCAAATTTGAGGCCTAACCTATTGTACATCAGACAGCTGAAATAACTTTAATGCTTTTTTAACAGCATTCTTGTGATTTAGGTCAACTTCTTCATTAAATACTTCAAAAAGTCTGTTTAAGTATATATGTATTCTCAACAAGACCTAACACTTTGGGGTATCCTTTATTATGCTTACAAAAATGCCTCTTTATCTGCTTTGCCTTTGAATTCAGCACTAGCAGGGCAGTCGAAATGTTCCAAGGAAAACAAAATTCTACAGTCAAACCACATTTTGGGTACAGCCTTAGAGCTCTTCCTTGTGTAACTCGCAGGCAAATGGAAGCCCAAGCAAGGAATGCAGGATGCAGCCTTGGTAGGGATAAATCCAGTTTGCCTCTCGCCTCTCATCTCCCATTGATACTATTGGCAATACTGGGAGGTATATGCTTATATGGACCGGGGAGAATTTTAATTTAAAGCTTATATCAAACAGAGAAAAGCAAAAACAGCTATCAAAATAAACTTCAAAAAAAATCATATCCTTCTGCATAAGGACTGTGAAAGAACAAGTGTCTTTGATGCAAAGTTTGAGTCTAAGTGGTGCATATGGCTTGCATTTGACACAATATTGAGACATTTACATTTACAAATAGGACTATCACTTTTTTATAAATTACATTATATTCATTTCAGTCAGTGGTCTAATTAAAAGAAGTTAATAATCTATAGCCTAATACCCAAGTTGTATAGCTTAAAACCTGAACTTTTTGCAGTAAGTTGAAGTTTCTCTCTTTACTGACAGTCAGAACCAAATAAAAACAAATACACTAGCTTTCAGAACAACTTACTTCTGTGCTTCATTTCAGTGTTTCTTTCCTACTTTTGACTTTGTCTATGAATTTTTGAAAATCTTAAGAACTTAGCTGGAACTGAGCTATCATTCTCCATAAGCATACAATGTCATCATTCATTAGAAGTGTCTTTGCAATCAAGGAGAACTTCTTTCCATTTCCATCTCTAGTTTTCTTCCCCAGAAACCCTTCTGATTCAGAGCTACAGCAGAAATGTAGCACAGGGAAGGGCTGACGGAAGGATGGTGGAGGCTCCTTCAACAGGGCATTAGTGCTGCTGTTTCAGTGTGGTGGGAGGTATGTAAAAGAAAGGCAAAGAAGGTTCCTACTTCTAAATATTCGTGTCAGACTTTCTATAGACTCCAGAAGTTATCAGACCACCAGGTACATCTGTTCATACCTAGAAGTTCTGAATGTAACCAGAGAGGAACAGGGTTTTTAATTATTTTTAGCCAAAGACTGAATTCTTTCCAGTAAAAATACAGTCTATAGGCCACATGCTTTGAATGCCCTAATTCAAAAGGTTACTTTGGAAGAAAGAATCAACAATCATACCTTGTGGATCTACCTTTTAGAAGCCAATATTCTCAAAAGAGTATTAGGCATCTTTATTTTAAAATCCACAAGATGTCTTTAGGGACCCCTTGTATGTAAACAGTGCAAAGCTCAGCTTTGAAAAACAAAAAGCCAACACTCAGATCCCTTCTGTAACGTATTTCTGGAGGCACCAACTGAAAAGTCACAGATGAAAGCAGTCAAATTATAGACAGTTCATATGTGACTAATCTATTGTCCTCCAAAACAAGTACAAACCTCCAGCAGACCTCTTTAAAGTCTGAAAGATAGAAAAGCAGATGCTACTTTGTGTAAATGAAGATTATAAAACTGGACTGGTGATTGAGAATGTTGATTTAGTATTGGCTAGGCATGGTGGGGCTGCTTGTCAAAGTAAACTGCAGGTGGGGTGAGGAGGAGACATCTTTGAAAATACACCATCGCATCAACACACTTTTTAATAAAAGAGGCAATGCAAAAGGAACATTTCTCAACAAAGCCTAATGCTACATGAAATGGGCTGAACAGAGTAAAACCTAGATGTTAGTACAGAACTTTTTACAGTGAAACACTGGTAAAACACTGGCACAGGCTGCCCAGAGAGGTGGTGGATGTGCCATCCCTGGAGACATTCCAGGACAGGCTGGACGTGGTTCCAGGCAAACTGATCTAGTTGAAGATGTCCCCGCTCACTGCAGGAGGGTTGGACTAGATGACCTATGGAGGTCCTTTCCAACCCAAACTATTCTAGGATTCAAACCTCAAATGTGATTTGAGTTCTTCCTTTTTTATCCCAACATCTCAATGACAGCCACTAATACAGGACCTTCCAAACAAGAACATTGTATTCATTCAGTCTACTTATATGCCACATTCTTCAGAACACTCTTGTGGCCTAATTTAATCTCAGCCATTAAAGCCGTGTAGTTGGTTTTTTTTTAATCCTACCTAACAGGGACTTTCTCTATTGCCAAATGTTAGCATTCCTTTGATTCCTCTGTAAAATTACACTAATTAGTTCACGTTTCAACTTGTCAGAAACTTGAGCAGGTACAGCAAATTTTCACTAATAAAATGTTCATTTCTTATATACAGTAAGCAAGTTATTTTTGGATATGAGGCAATTCTGCTAAGTGATGCATCTGAATCTATTTAGCAGTTACACTGACCCGTTACTCAAATTGCAGTGTTCTGCTCTTATTTGCCACCTCCTGCTACACCTAATTCATGATTTATAACTTGCACATAAAACTTCTGATTATGGAGAGTACAAATTATTCAGCCACTCAGGCCTGATCTCATTTGTAGTAATAGTTAAGTCTTTACTCTTAAAAGAAAACCCACAATCAGCATTTTTCAAAAAGAATGCTTTCTTCCAGAAGTACCAAAACAGTTTCATCTCTATCTGTAGAGCTGACCTTCTCCTGAATGCAGAGATTTGCACCTAAACCTTGAGAGAAGCACTGAAAGGACCCTAACAGCTGCCTCTTTCACCTGTACCAGTGGTGTGCAATAAACCAACAGGGAGCTCTAAAGTCTGAGTTATTAGTTTACACAAGCAATTAATCCAATAATTTCAAAAAAGACTTACGGTCAATTGCTTAGCTATAAAAAGGGATATCAGGCATGTCCCATTAACACTGAATCAATGCCTCAAAGAAAAACTCCTTTTGTTATTAATGAAAAAATTTAAACCAGAATAAACCAATTAGCTGTTTGTCTGCTTAATCCTCTCGCTGAGGAAAAAACAGCATTTCACCTCTCAGTAGAACTGGTTTTCATTCTAGTAAAACCTATCAGAACATTAAGAATGCTGCAATTGTCTGACAGTGGAGAGCAGTGACAGGCCAGGTGTCATGCTTTGAGTTTGTGCAGCTGAAGCAAGTCACTCATTAATAAACAAGTACCAGTTGTCAGTGAGTTGACAGAAAGTAGAGACACCACAGGAATTTCTATTCTGGAGAAATGTATCTATTGGTATGACCAAGCAATTGTCGATGCCTAGAATAATTATAAATAATTCAGATGAGAGTTCTGCATTTGTTTCTGGTAAGTTTTGAGCTTTACCTGTCTTGTTTTTGCTGATGTTTCAATAAAAGGAATTCCATAACTTCTTGCTAAATCCTGAGCTTGTTTTGTATCTACTGTTCTCGAAGGCAAATCACATTTGTTTCCTACTAGCACCATTGGGACATCTTCAGAGTCTTTAACTCTCTTTATTTGTTCCCTAAAAGAAAAAAAGATGGACTGTATTTAACAGGTGTTAGTGTATTTAATGATTTTAAAACAATGAAAGAATCCAACATAATTTACGTTAGTTTCCTGCACATACACTATTAGAAGCCATCAAAAAATGACCAATCCTGTCACTTTTAAGTTTATCACGTTATTTTAAAAAAATAAGGAAAAAAAAAAAAAAAAAAAAAAAAAGAGGTGAACATTTTACAAACTTCTGTACATTTTTTAACAAATCATGCCAGAAGAAACTCAAGAGGCTCTGACATAAGTCTAACTACTTACCTCTCATAGTCGGTACTCAGAATACTCAGTTCATTTGCCAACACGAAACACTCATTAAAGCACTATGCCCACTGTCTCAGTTATTGTTTGGGGGTGGGGGTGCCTTCTTTTTTGTTTTATTATTAAAGACAGCATTGCAAACTCTTCATTTAGACAGGGATTTTTAAACTTTGACAACCACCAGGCTGGTTCTCTACAAAAAGGTATTTGGTAAGAGAGTCCTTTCAGCCACTAGTTAGAAAACATCTTGAAACACTATTTAGATGTGCTTGTCAAGAATCTCAAATAACAAGCAATCATTTCATTACTTTTGCCTTCCCAAATAATTTAGCAGCATGTTCCTTAATATATCACTGGTTTTGGTTATTTATTTATAAGCCTTCAGCTTCAGTCTGCAAAGTCATCCACAGGTGTGTGAATGCACAGGAGAAACTCCAGCAATCAACTCACAACATTCTTTGAAATTAACTGGGAAGGCCTTCTTATGCAAAACAGCAACTGACTTTAAAAATGACAATCCCACATGAAAACCATTATGCTCCTTCTTCCTTTTACATTAGCCTCTGTCTTCAGAGGAAAACTATTTGTAATAATCCGGTGAGATAATGAAGACAAGGGTATGGTTTTTCTGAGAGCAACAGATAGGTTTTTCTAATTTGTCATCCCTACTGTGCTACTTCTTATCTGGTTTTTTGGTTGGTTGGATGGTTTCGGTTTTTTGTGTTGTTTGGGTTTTTTTTAAATCACCAGTACCGATACATTCAGTTAGAAAATCTTATATATAATGAAATTTATACAAAAGCTGGCTAGCTCAATTTAAATATAAAAAAGAAACAGCCCTCAAAGAAGGACATTCTTAACACTGCTCTCTCTCTGGGTTAGTATGCAGCAGTTTTGCTCCTCTCATTTGCAACAGTACTCCCCTGATCCCACAGCTGCTCCAGAGAGATAAGCCAGCAGTAAACTACTTTTGTAGGTAGGCATCTACCTGTTGTAACTACTCCCATCAGCACACTACACAATCAAATGAGCTGACTTGCTGGCATACAGGCGAAAATGAAACTATGCCATGGGGGCAGTTGCACCTGCTGACTTTGATTACCCTGAACTACCATGGTATCCCAGCTTAAATGTGGAACTGTAACATCTGTTTGTAACAAAAATGTGTAACTTTGGCTTTTAAGTAGATGTGAGGTTTGTGGGTAATACTGACAGCAGAACACTACTCCACCATACAGTGACATAGATCTGACAGCATTATAAATGCCTAACTATGAATAGCTTAGCATTATGTATTTGGAATTAATCTTAAACGGATGCTGCCAAACTCAGCAATCATTGGTGGGATTTGCATTGCCTTCTAATACTCAAGGAGAATTCAATATAATAGTAAGCTACTAAGTTATAAATGATCTGGTATGGTAATCGCCAGAAACTGCTTTTTCTACATTAGTGTAGCTGACAATTTTAACTAATTATTAAAAAAAAAAAAAACCTGAGTATGAAGAAACTAACAACAGGATGGTTTTAGCAGTCATCCTGGAGCTCTGGTTTTGTGTGTCTGCTCTTCTTAGGCATCAGGGCTCACACATGTTACTTTTAGTAACATCCCACCAGTATTTTCTCTCCACTCCCAGAACAAAGCTAGCGATTGACATTATTGTCCATACAATTTCAATTGGATCAGTTTTGCCATCTGAGCACACAATTTTATCTATGGAATGGGCAGAGTCTACCTTTAGATAAGTCTTCACTATGAATAGGCAGAAACACTAAGTCACATTAGTTTATACTATAATAACTTTCAGATGTTTTGTCTGCCTAACTTGCAAACAAGGCAGCAGATTTTCAGATTACCCAAATTTCCAGACCTACAAATCCACAAATAATTTGCTAATTTGCAAGTTTCACCTTAGATGCCATTTCATAAGAAACCATTCTATTATCCAGTGGAAAAGCAAGCAAACTGTCCACTAAATACAAGATTTGATTAACTTTGAATATACACACCTATAATGGTGAATATCTTCAAAAGACTTTGTATTGTTTATAGCAAATACACACAAGAAACCTTCCCCTGTTCTCATATATTGGTCCCTCATGGCACTGTATTCTTCTTGACCTGCTGTATCAAGAATATCCAAGAGACAAGTTTCTCCATCAATTACTACTTGCTTCCGGTAGGAATCCTAAGAAAAGGGAAACACATACACCTTGGTTAAACACAAATAAGTAAAATTTCAAACAACTGTAACTCAATTAAAGTGGTCTATTAGTAGTTGAGCATGACTGAAAACATGTAAGAATTAAAATCCAACTTCACACATGGGCAAATCAGAGTAGGAAAACAGTGTCCCATATTTACATGTATACAGTAAAATCCAGAAGTGAGAAGAGCACTGAAAGACATGTATTCCATTTCTTCAGTGAGGAATAGCATGTGTGCACGCACACACAGAAAAAGGGCAGCGTTCTTATTTTGCACAGAAGACAAAAAGTACAAATTGGATCCAGATCAAAAGCATCTCCCCTTTGTCTCTGTTAAGAAAGAAATTGAAGAAACTAGTAATCCTGATTTTAAAAGTCTTTACTTTATTTAAGCTTACTCAATTTACCAATTGTTATTTTTTTTTCCCCCAGTAAAACTTGTCTTTCATTGTATGGATTGTTACAAAAGCATCGTGCCACAACAATGTCCAAAGTAATAAACCAGGAAGAATACACAAGACAACTCCAAAAATCTATGCAACTAAAAGGCAAACGGAACATAAAAAGCCTTCAGTGTTTGGGATAGGAAATGTGTTTTGTGTGTCCATACAGTCATATTTGTTATTAAGTTATCAAAGTTGAGTTGATATATTTGAAGTTCAAATTTTTTAGCCAAGACAGACCAACAGAGTCATGTAAAAGCCCTGACGGGTTGCTTCAGAGATATTGGAACAAATTACGTCAATACTATCAGTCCAAAGCTTTCATGTAACTGATCCAAGCGCCTAAAATCTGTACAAAGCATCAAGCAACTAGATTTTAGTATCTATTTACAGCTCTTTTTGGTGCTAGGCTGCTATGAGTACGTAGTTCAGCGATAAGAACGTAAGCATTATTTTCCCAATAACTTCCATGAACATCTATGTATTTGAAATAAAAACATGTCAACAGCTTTGAAAACAGGTCATCAAGCAGTGCCCTGAATTATTCTCAGTAAACAGTACTTAAATAAAAGGTATAAACCAAAATCTTGGTATTACCTTTCAGATCCCTTAGCTAGATATTAACACAATATTGCTGCCGTTCTTTTTAACACTGTACAGAAGTCAATCTAAGTTACTGGGCAGAGAATTAAAGAATTAAACTTGCAATTCTAGCCAACTTCAAGACGTATTTAGAATGGCCTTCCTTCCTTTGTACCCATTTTAAGGCACAGTACACCTACTCCTGTGTGCTTTCTATATATTTGTATTTTTACAAGAGGTTCTCTTCTTTCCTGTTGCTCACACTAAAAAGCAAGCAGGAGATAATTGTATAGAATCAGTATTTTAAACTAAACAAACTCTGTAATCACACATTTATCTTGAGCATGGCTGACATGTATCAGGTAAAACAATATTAACTGTGTACCTTAAAGATAAAAGTTTGCTTCCAACATTTTGGAAATATTTATTTCACAAAAGTGCAAATTCAGTGTTGAAGTAGGTGACTTACTTCAGAAACCTGTAAGCCATGTTTAAATATTGATATAGCTGAGACAAATACACAAGTTCCAATGTGTTTGAAAATAAGGTTAATATTCTATCTCATTGCTTAACAGGGAAAACACAAAACAAAGGACACATCTTTATTCCAATTTGCTTAAATTCAAGAGCAGATCCCCCATGTCCTATGATACCTTTATCACAGTTTGCAGTACAGTATTAACTTCTATCACTATACTCAGCATATTTACAAAGCTTTCCTTTTCTCCTCTTGCAATGTGACTGCTAGTTTAAAAATATGAAAAACAGTTCTTGAAAAGCCTGTATTATTCCTTCACATCTTAGCACTTCAAACGAAAAGAAACTCCCCTCAACTGAGCTCTAAACAAAGGCTTTAAGTAATTTTCATCAAAGACAATCATTTTTAAGAGAAGAAAATCACTTTTAAGAACTGCTGGCTTTAGCATGCCTACCATGTTAGCAGTAGCAGTAAAGATGCACCAGCATAAAGCACAGCACAGGTACAAAAAGATGGAATGCTTTGTGATAATAGCCATTTTGCCCACTTCTGGTGAGAAAAATTTGTCACTAACTAGGAAGGGGATTTGAGTCAGAAGGAGAAGACAGGCATGGGAGAGAAAATTCAAGCTTATTAGTTCCTTCCAAGCTACTGAAATAATAAACACCTCGCTTTTTTGCCCCCCCCCCCTTTTTTTCCCCTGCAAAACATCAAACCTTAGATCACATTTGTCACTGTAAGAAAGAAAACTGAATCACCACATTAAAAACTCAGGCTCCTGGTACTGCCAAACCCATTATGGTGAGCACCAGTGTAAACATAGCCAAGACAAAATTCGTTTATCTGAGTGTTACCATACTGTAAAAGTTTTTTAAGTCCTGCAAAACAGAATGTCACAGGATGTGACAAGAAGTTACACCACTCTAGTACATGTGGCACTTCTGCAGAACCCAAATGACCAGACTCCCCTCCACAAACCTCACCAGCTTTCTAACCTATAAATTTCAGAATTTATAAAAATCCAGTAGCTTTACTGCACATTGGGAGAAATGCCATGAAGAAACCATGAAAAAGCATCCAGTATAAGGCTGTTAAGTAAACACAAAATGCAAACTATATATAGGTGAATACAGAAGCAGTACTTGACTCCAAATATGAATTTGCAGTTTTTCCCCAGTCTACTGACTCAGCATATCTATATAAATGTGTTTTGATTTCATTAATCATTTAACTTGATTTTATTGGCCTTTCAGAAGCCTAAAAACCAGCATGAATTATGGTAACAGAGTAATTATTCCATCTGTTCACAAGCACTGATAAGAAAATGTGATAGGAGTCTCAGCTATATGCTACATATGGAATTAATTTAAAACATGTCTCACTGCTTAATAAATCTTATCTAAGCCAGTAGCCATTATTTTGTAAAAATCCACCTTACCAGTGATTTTATGTTAAAGTATCACAGCTACTAAGAATAAGCTATTACTAAATACTGGTGGAAGTTTCGCAAGTGCATAGGTCATTTAAGAACACAGACTTAAATATCAGTATTCCTAAATCAACCAAGGGATTTTGCTAATCCAATTGAAAACCCTCTGTCAGGCAGCTAGAAAAGCGGTTCTTTCTCTAGGACATTTAAAAGATGACATATATTTAGCACTAAAACATTATGAAGCTGTAAAAAATAATAAAACAACGATAAAAAATTAAAATTTAGTTGTGATAGCTTGTGATGATAGAAGATTTAACAGGCCTCGTCCAGTAGAGGGCACTAGTCCAACTGTTCTGCGTATTAGAAACCCAGATTTGCAAGGGTTAGTGTACAAACAGTTAAGTAAAACACATAAAAAATTACACGGCTATAAATCTATGCTTGGACATCTACTTCAAGTAAGATATGAAATCGTGAAACACATATAAAGCATATACATTTGACTAACAGTAGCCACCCAAATATGCACCAATTTTAATTCCTCCCCCTGCCCCCCATCATCTGCTAAGCTCATATCAAATAACTACTATATTTTTCTCTCTCCAACTGCATCATGTCTTCACAACATGAGAATTTTAGAACTGCTGAGTTTTGTTTTGTAAGTCACAGAAAAGACTTAAAGTTATTCAATAACTGTGTAGTTGTGGAATCCATCATATATAACAAAAACACTGAACTCTCTTCTCCATCTATTCCAAAATACTTAGCTTTATTATTTATCTCCCAGGGAAAATGAGTATTTTGGCAACAGCTGTATAGCAATGAAAGAAACAGTAGTAAGTGAGAAACAACAGTAGTGACACTACTGAACTGTCTTAACTGTTATTTACCAGTAAAAGCAACTTCAGCCTTATTCCCTCATACTGCATAAAAGGCACTCTACAGCTATTGTTCTTTGATCGGCCTCTACCACCACAACCACATCTATACAGGAAGCACAATCAAGCAACCCTTCTCAGCTGAACAGGATCCTGCTCAAGCAAGGGCTTGAGCATTTAAACCCAATTACAAGCCCACTCTCTACAACCTGTTTGCCACTCCAAATCACAGGTCACTCTTATAACATCTGAATTACTTCTTCCCTACAAGCTTACCTACCAGACTATAGCACTGTGAGTGCACACAAGAAGATTCACAACGTTAAGTAGGAAGATACAGCCTCCATACTCAAGGTCTCAGAAAAAACAAGACAAAAATGGTAACTAGCACTCAGACAAGAACTTGTAGGAGTTGCAGAAGATTAACACTGTTGCATGCAACAAGTTGTGGATGCTGATAAAACCTATTAGGTTAAAGGTTTCTTTCTTTCGGAAGAACATACTGATTCTGGACCACACCACAGTGTTACGATCATCCTGCACACTACAGAGTAAAAGACACGGTTCTGTGATTTTAGGTTTTTTCTATGAGGAACTGCATTTTCATCTTACTATTTTACATTAAAATGTATTTGGTATTCATCAAAATACTCAGACTGGTTGGCAAAATCCCTCAAGTCATTTAGGAATACTGTCATTTAAGGTTGCATTCCTTGTTTACACAGTGCTGGCTTTATATGACAACTTACAACACAGAACCGCCACAGTACTTTTTGCAATGCATAAAAACACACCTCCAACCTAAAAGAAACCCAGATGATAATGACAAGTATTACAAAGACCAACATCCTCCAAGGTTCCTTTTGCAGGAAAAAGTAAAGTCCCATTTTGCTTGTTCTCCTCTGAGTTTTATGTGTTTTCTGTTTGTCTAGCATGTTTATGGTGACTACTGTTAAGATTTCACATCTTTGTACTTGCAAAAGCTGCCCTCCTAGCGCAAGTCACACATGCTTCCTTCTCTCCATAAGTCTATTCACCAAACCTTCCACAAGCATACATGAGGCTACTGGGCAACAGAGAGACAATACAACACACAGGCACATTAATAAACTCAAGCCAACACATCTCTGTTTGGAGCACAGAGGCTTGTACTTCAGTGGAATAAGACAGCTTCCTGGCACCTCAGGCCACTGGCTCCTTTTGCTTGTGCCTACCTGAAAATGACTACAGAGCCATTTTCCAAGTCAGCATTTTAAGCCAAGATTTAAATCCTTGCGATTCCTTCAAGTGAGCTTGGGAAGTGCCTCACTGTATAAACATATAAATGAAGTCATAAGCTACAGAGCTTCAGTGCTGGGAACATAAAAATCTTGTGTAACTTACAGTGTCATTTCTACTTTTACATGGTCTGAGGTTATTAAATCCAACAATCCACAGGAGACTTCAGGCAATACCAGTATTTTCCTTATATTTAAAAGGCAGAGCTTGCCTACTCAAATACCTTTAAAATACAAACTTTTAAGCAACTTTTAAAGCTTAAATACAATTCGTGATTTTGAGAAACTGTGCCATGTATTTTAAAGCATCCACTACAGCAGTTATCATGTTTTTTCTAGGTACAGAAGCAAGCACTGGTGTTTTAAAAATAAATAAAACCAGGCTCCAAATTTTGCTTCATTCACCGTAACATTCCTGGACACATTTTCACTGTGTGAAACAGATCCTAATGATAGGAGCTGAGAAAGCTTGATGCATACATTTCAGAACTACAGATTTTCACATTTAAGAGGTTGCATGCAAAGCCATGAAGAGTTTTGCCAAGCATTTTCACATGAATTTGTCAACAACTTTGTCACAGAGATCCTAAAAACATGCATCCAAACTGCCCAACAAAACATGGCAATTAACACCATACTTTAATTGAACACAACTGTTCCACAACCAAATGAAGCAGCACAATTTCCTCTCCAGTGCTGGTCTGATGCTGGTCATTACCTTTAAGAGTTTTTTACTGTAAAGCCTTGTTCTATGTTTTTGTGGTAACTGTCCAAGCATATGCAACTGCCATTATAACTGATAACCTCTCTTCACAAAACGAGTGCAAGATGAAATTGTTTACCTCTATTGTAGGGTCATATTCATCCACAAAGTGATTCTGAATTAGCTGTATTGTCAAGGCGCTCTTGCCTACACCACCAGCTCCAACGACAACAAGTTTATATTCTGTCATTTTTTAGCAGACCTGATGACAAAGAAACCAACATTAAGCGAGTCGGGCTCCGGCTAATGAGGATGCCGTTGGTGCGCTCTCATTCAGTATCACGTTCCTTTACTATTACCGGAAAGCAACTCCCTCCCTGAAAGACAAGACAAAAAGCCGTGAGGGCATGCTGTTTCTCAAACAAAATTATACATAGGAAACATAGCGTGGGCACTAAGCTGAAAGGCACGGATTACAAAGAGGTGAAAGACCCGGGATACACTAAATCCTGAAAGAGGCCGGAGAGTATTTCTCGCGGGGCAAAGACGCTGTTCTCTGCCGCTTTCTCCCAAAGCCCCGGTGGCTGTGGAGACCTCCCGGATCCGTACGGCAGCCGGGCCAGGTTCACCGCAACC